TAAAAAGGTGATCAAAAGGTGGCCCAGTAGAAATCCAGTGGGGATATCAGAATCTATTTCAGAATTGGAAGGCAGAATAAATGATTTGGAAGTGAAGTTACAAGGTAGTGGGATTTCTTCACAAGAATGGGACTAGTTGCTGCAATCGAGGACTGAGTTATGGAGATTGCACAGGTTGGATGAAAGTATTTGGTTCCAGAAGTCAAGAGAGAAATGGATAAAAGATGGTGACAGAAATACGAGCTTTAACAGGAATAGAATTAATGCAATTTCGGCGTTGAAGGTGGCTGGTGAGGAAATTTCAAATCAAGAACAGATTAGGGCCTCTGTCTTGGATTTTTTCAGGAAAAATTATAATTCAAAAGCAACGCTGGAGGTTGATGACATGAATCTTAACTTTGTGAAATTGCCAGCTAAGCAAAAGGCTTCTCTTGAGGTTAAATTTTCAGTACATGAAGTGTGGGAAGCAATTTTTTATTCGAACAGTGCTAAAGCTCTAGGCCCGGATAGTTATACTATGGAATTTTTCAAGAAATTTTGGCCTTCGCTTAAGGTACAAATAATGAAGTTTGTGGATGATTTTTATTGTGGAAGGAATTGGGAGCATGGGGTCAATCATGCTTTCATAACTCTGATCCAAAAAAAAACTAAATCCGGAATGTATTGAAGATTTCATACCAATTAGCCTTGTTGGGAGTTTATATAAAATTATTTCCAAAGTTTTATAGAAAAGACTTGTTTCAGTTATTAAAGACATAGTAGGCCCTTCACAATTTGCCTTTATTCCTAGTAGACAGCTGCTAAACTGTGCATTCCTTGCAAATGAAGGCATAGATAATTGGAGGAAACAAGGGAAGAATGGGGTCGTATTCAAAGTTGATTTTCGCAGGGCATATGATTCATTGGAATGGCCGATTCTTTTGAGATTATTGAAAGTCATGGGTTTTGGGGAGAGATGGATTTCATGGATTGAGTATTGTCTATCTTCTGCTTCAATCTCGGTTCTAATGAATGGAAGTTCAATAGATGAATTTTCGATGGGTAAAGGGTTAAGACAAGGCTGTAGTCTTTCCCCTCTTCTCTTTAATATAGTTGGGGAACTTAATTTAATGTTGCTTAAAGCTGTTGATCTTGGACTATTTGAAGGGTTTGTTGTTGGTAGGCCTGATAATCCTTTCTAGCTTACACATCTACAATTTGCAGATGATCTTATATTATTCTGTCGAGATTCTCCTACTCACATTCTAAATATCAGGAGAGTGTTGAGGGTTTTCAGTATAATGTTAGGACTTCATCTGAATCTATCTAAGAGTAATTTGTATGGCATTAATATTGAAGATGGCATCTTAAACGAATGGGCAACTCAGGCTGGCTGTGTGGTGGGATCTTTTCCTACGATTTATCTTGGTCTACTGTTAGGGGCAAAAGAAAAATTCAAAGGTTCTTTGGGAGCCGGTCATCCAGAAGTTTAACAAGAGATTAGCTGGTTGGAAAGCATCTTCATTGTCAATGCCGGGAAGATTGGTGTTGTTGAAATCGGTGTTGTCCTTGCCGATTTTTTCCTTTCTATTTTCAGAATTCCGTTTAAGGTAAATCAGAAGTTGAATTCTTTGATGGCTAAATTTCTTTGGGGGGAAGGACCAGCAAAGAAACGTATTCACTAGGTAAATTGGAGAGTGGTGTGTCAATCCTATGAAGACGGGGGATTGGGAGTCTTGGATCTGAATTTGGCTAATCGAGTGTTGCTTGGTAAATGGGTGTGGAAATTTGCAAATGAAAAAGACACTCAATGGAAAAAGATGCTTTCCAACAAGCATAATGTTAGTAATTTGTCTCTATCAATTAACAAGGCAATTTCTCCTCTAGACTCATGGATTTGGAAAGGTATTGTTAATAATTATTTGAAAAATGACGAGATCGGAGAGTGTTTGAGGTCTCATTCGAAGATTCAAGTGGGGAACGGTAAGTCGATTTCATTCTGGAACGATGTTTGGGTTAATGATTCAACCTTAAAAAATCAGTTCCCTAGGTTTTTGCTTTATCTAACAATAAATGGGGTAAAGTGGTTGATTTTGGATGCTTCGAAAATAATGGATGGGTTTGATAATTCAATCTAGGAGGAATTTATGCGATTGAGAATTGGATCAGTGGATTGCTTTAATGTCTTTGCTCAATAATATAGTTCTGTCCGATTCAGTGGATGACTTCCTTGCATGGTCGGGGAAGGGTGATGGTTTGTTCTCAGCTAAGTCTTGCAAGTTGACTCTATCATGTAAATCTGGAAATACTTTCAATGGGAACAAGTGGGTGTGGACAGGTTTGGCTACTCCCAGAGTCGAAACCTTTCTTTGGCAGATATCCCATAATAAACTGGCAGTTAGAGTGGAGTTGAAGAAAAAGGGGTTCCCTTGGAAGATGTTCTTTGCCATTATGTCACAAGCATGAAGAAACTATCCAACACCTTTTCATTACATGCTCTGTTGCAGGGGAGATGTGGAATAGATTTCTAAGGTTATAGGACATCTCTTCAATTCTACCTCAAGACCCCCCTTCCCTGCTTAGTTCTTGGTCTGATCTAAGGGCTTATTCCTTAATTTGGAAGTTTATCCCGGGAGTTGTTCTGTGGTCAGTATGGAAGGCTAGGAATTTGGTGGTGTTTGATAACTGGAATCTCGATAGTTATTCTCTCTTCTTCATTTCTAAATTTAGGTTGGCTAAGTGGTTTCTAGCTAAGTTCCCTCTCTTTCCTATTCAGGCTGATTTACTAATTGGGGACCCATCTCTTGCAGACAGGATTCCTACTCATACTGTTAACAGAATTAAGGTCCAACATTGGCTTCCTCCATCAGTTGATTTCTTCCAATTTAATGTGGATGGAGCAATAAGAAGTGATGGGCTGCAGGGTGGAGTTGGAGGAATTATGAGAGACTCTAATAGCATTACTTTAGCCACTTTCTCTAATAGTGTTGGCCTAGGCCCTCCTCCTTTGACCGAGTTGAAAGCCATTAAAAAAGGCATTGATTTTTTTCTTTCATCTTCATGGGCATTGAAAGGAAGACTGATCATAGAGAGTGATTGCAAATCTGCAGTTGACTGGATTTTGTTGCCGTGTTGTGCTCCTTTTTTCAGTTCTTTGGTAGGGGAAATTGGGTCCTTACTTTCTGCTAGGGAGATTATTGTTAGACTGATTCCTAGGAGCTGTAATTGGGAGGCAGATAAATTAGCTAAGGAGGGGATTGGATGACTGTTTTGGTTTTTTATTACATGTAGTAATTGGGTTTGGTTGTTTATGGTTGCTACAAGTGTAATGGTGTAATCTTATGTAATTATTGACTTATCAATAAACTGAGGTACTCTTTTCCTCCTTCCGCTAGTTGCCTCTTTTCAAGAGCCAACTAAGAGGGAGGTTTTTAATGAGGCCTCCTACTTCTATAAAAAAAAAAAAATCAATGTCGAACTGTATTACTCCCAAATATGTACTGTTTTATTAGGAGTACCTACTGTTTTAGGAGTCCTTATTATTTTTGTCTCTGGATAAACTTTATCTTCCAGTAGAGTATTTTATTAGTAGTTAGTTACTAACTATTAAATAGGGGACATATGTATACTATTACGGCATATTAGAAAATAAGAACTTTTTTTTTATTTTTCTTTCTGATTTTCTTTGGTTTCTCTTTTGTTTTCTGTCTATAAACATGAAAGACATTATGAATCATGCTGTCTGGGGGTAATGTGACTTACAGATTTTAACTTTGTTTTATTCCCTATTATTCTGTTTTTCTTTTTTGGCCATCTTATATACCTGTAATGCTCTTTTTATATAGGTGGATATTATCTTGGCTGAGATACTAGAATATATAACATACTGTAGCAATGTAACTCTTAATGTGCTTTATTTTTTTATTTTTTTAATTTCTAGGGGGGACAGGTAGCTGCTATTAGCATAGAGTCTAGAGCAGCCTTGCTTGCAGCTAAGCAGGTAATTTTATCATCGTAATGTTAGAATATGAATTTTCTTGTTGTTAAATATATACTATCATATTGGTAAACACACTGCAATTAGTAATGAATAAGTTTGATTCAATGGTTGCAAATGGTACATGCTTCTCTCCCAATTAGTAATGCATAAGTTTGGCCGTGCATGTGTCTGGATATTAGTACATCAACTTAAATCTCTGATCTAGCATAGATAATATATCACTTGCTAACCTCTAATCTACCGTTAGTCCAAAAGTTAGGTTTGCATTGTACTTTTTTATCTCCTTTCGGGTTAATTGATTATAAAACAAATCCAGTTAATTTCTGTTAACAATTTTTTGTTGAGAGAGCATTACAACATTATTACATTGTTAAGATTTAATCATGAATAGCTGGAGAACTAATATGTCTGAATTATTTGTTTTATGCATGTTAAAACTATGTGATACATGTTGTGCACCTGGTATTAATGTTTGACATCTTTATTTTCTCCATTCTCTTCCCTCTATACCATGGACAGGGCTTTGCTGGTGCTGCATCCAGATATGTGGGCGTGAGGAGTATGATGAATTTGCTCGGCCCACTGTATTGACTTTCTGACTCTAAATTTTATCTGTTGTCTTTACTTTTTCCATGCATATTAAACTTTGGTGTTCTCAACTTGGTAAAGACTTACTTGATGGAAACCCATCTTCTCGTTGTTCATAAGGTTAATTATAGAGATATGTGATTCTCGCCTCCTTTTTCCCTATCAAATTTTGAGTGTCATATGGAAGTAGAACCAATAAAACAATCAGAAGATAGGATAAATTCAATGTAGAATTGAAACTGGAACAATAATACTATGGCTTAGGGTTGTAGAGCCAACAATGATCAATATTCAGCTATATCGCGGTTGCTTAACGAGTCTCAAAGATTATTTATCTATACTAGAATTAAACATGTTTTTCGCAAGATAGCTCATGTAATTGGAAATAATTATCAACAACAAAATAGAATAAACTGAAGAAAAATAAAAAAAATCCATTTACCAATTTAGTAAGCATAGGTCTAGTATGCTCTTGAATAAATCTCCTTGTCTTGTAAAGACATGCTTATTATTTTTTTTTGATAGGAATGGAAGGCCTCGTTAAAAACCACATTCTTGATTAAAGGAGCTTAGGGGAAAGCTCCTTAATCAGCGGAAGGAGAAAAGAGTGCCTTAAAAACTTTATTGATAATACAATCTTACATAATATTTAAACACTACACCACAATACATCCCATAAAACTTAACAACAATTTTCTAATAGACCGTCTCGCTGGACCAGAAAATCCAGTGACAGGGCTTTACAGTCAACCTATCCCTTTCTTAGCTAAGCTATCAGCCTCCCCATTGCTCGCTCTTGGAATCCACCTCACTGAATGAACCTTGCCATTTGAAAGTGTCAAAATCTGATTAACCAAAGACGAGTAGAAAACAGGAGCCAAAGCCGGTGATTTAATCCATTCCACTACCGACTTGCAATCACTCTCAACAATCAATCTCCCAACAGAAACCCAAACTGAAGCCAGAAAAATTTCAATACCCCTTTTAGTAGCCTTTAATTCAGCTAGAGGAGTACCTTGGTCAACTTTCTCTGAAAAAGTCAAAAGTGTGCGACACTCCCAATCTCTCAATATACCTCCTATACCTCCACCCGAGCCTCCAAGCCTAACTGCTCCATCAACGTTCATCTTAAGAAAATCAACAGGGGGGAATCCAACGCAGGTTATGACCAACTTTTTCTAAAGTTAGAGAAAACCCATCTGCTAGAGATGGATTACCAATCAGCAAATCCTCCTGAATATTAACCGTAGGAAACTTGGCTAAAAACCATTTTGATAGCCTGAATCTAACTGTAAAGAACAGAGACATGCTGTCCAGGTTAGAACCTTCGAACACTATAGCATTCCTGGCTTTCCAGATTGACCTGAAGATAACACCCGGAATAAACTTCCATATCGTCGAGTTTCCCCTCAACTCACCCCAGGAACTAAACAAAGCAGGAGGGTCTTGGGGAAGAACAAGCGAAATATCCCAAAAGCTAGCTATTTTATTCCACAAATTCCAAGCAACAATACAGGAAATAAATAAGTGTTGAACTGTTTCCTCCTGAATCTTGCAAAAAGGACTCTGTATATCTTCCCCTAAAGAAACTCCTCTCTTAACCAACTCTGCCTTAACTGCCAATTTCTGATGTGCAAGTTGCCATAGAAAAGCTTCCACTCTCGGTGGAGCAAAACCCTTCCAAACTCCTTGTAGCCACAAATCATTACTCCTGACCTCCGAGCCAAAGGTTTTCCTGCATGATTTAACCGAAAACAATCCATCTCCGCTAGCAGACCAAGAAAGGGAGTCCTCCACCAGCTCTGACAGTTTGACATCCTTAAGTTTTGTCATCAAAGCCAACCACTGGTCCAATTCCCAATCACTCAGATTCCTTCTAGTTTGGATATTCCACTCCCAACCACTCGGTCCATAGCTGCCAAACTCAACAATCTCCCCCCCTTTATTAATGGAAAGCACATAGATTCTAGGAAAAATTATTTTAAGAGGGACCTCATCAGCCCAAACATCATTCCAAAAAGAAATTGATTTCCCATTACCTACTTGCAGCTTCGAATTCGATCTAAGAAAGTTCCCTACCGAATCATTCTTAGAAAAATTATTAGCAATGCCTCTCAAGATCCATGAAGATTTCGGAGAAGTAACCTTTCCAATAGACATAGTGTTCCAGCTGACCTTTTGCTTACTACACAACACAGATTTCCAGAGAGAGTTTTTGTCATTGGCAAATTTCCACACCCACTTGCCTAGTAAAGCCCGGTTAGTAAGATTCAAATCAAGGACACCTAGTCCACCACAGTTCATAGGCCTGCAGACCGTGTTCCAATTTACCCAGTGAATCCTCCGCTTATCCCCCTTCTCACCCCAAAGAAAGTTAGCCATTAAGGAATTAAGCTTCTTTCCGATATTGCACGGCATTTTGAAAAGAGATAGAAAGAAAATCGGCAAAGATAGAAAGAAAATCGGCAAAGAGGTTAGCACCAACTTTAACAGAACTGTCCTCCCAGCCAAAGACAGACATGACGCTTTCCACCCCGCAAGTTTGGAACTAAAATTCTTAATCCCAAGTATTCTGTTGGTAGAAAACCAACTGAACAACCACTTGTTCTGCCCAATCCGATAACACTCCCTCTTCCAAATTGATACCAAACAGCTTACTCTTTGCTAAATTGAGGTGTAAACCTGTCATAATGCTAAAGATCCTCAGCACCCTTTTTACATTCTTGATCTGATTAATAGAGGCTTGACAAAAAATTATTAAATCATCGGCGAATTGTAGATGGGACAGCCTGGTAGAATTTCCAGAATTCCCCATAATAATACCCTGGAATAAACCCCTCTCGATTGCTTTAGAAAGCATCAAGTGTAGCATCTCGCCTATAATGTTGAACAAAAGTGGAGAAAGACTGTAGCCTTGTCTAAGACCTTTTTCCATTGCAAACTCCTCAGAAGGTGACCCGTTAACAAGAATCGAAATAGAAGCTGTAGACAGACATTGAGAAATCCACGAGGACCATCTGTTTCCAAATCCCATTTCTTTCATTGCTCTAAACAAAATAGGCCATTCCACATGTCGTATGCTCTTCGGAAGTCAACTTTAAAAACTACCCCTTGTAATCCTTGTTTTCTCCAGAAATCAATACCTTCGTTCGCAATGAAGGCGCAATCCAATAGCGTCTCCCCGGAATAAAAGCAAATTGGGATTGACTGATTATGTCCCCACACAGCCACTCAACCTTTTAGATAATACTTTTGAGAGAATCTTATATAAACTACCTACAAGGCTGATTGGTCTGAAATCCTCCACACTTTCCGGATTAGTCTTCTTCGGAATAAGTGTAATAAACGCGTGATTAACTCCGTGTTCCCATTTTCTACCTTTGTAAAAATCCTGAAAAAACTTCAATACATGTTCCTTTAAAACCGGCCAACATTTCTTGAAGAAGCCCATGGTAAAGCCATCCGGTCCTGGTGCTTTAGAACTATCCGAAGAAGCTATCGCTTGCCATATTTCTTGTTCCGTGAACTGCTCCTCAAGTTTTAAAGATTGAAACACTGATAGCATAGCAAACTCCAGGGATAAATCCTCTACACCCAGCGTTGACTTGGAACTATAGGATTCCTTAAAATAGGCCGCAATATGCAACTTAATAGATTGCGGATCAGCAACTTCAGAACCATTGATCTTCAAACTAGTAATTTCATTTCTCCTACTCCTGTTTAGAGCAGTTAAATGAAAAAATCTAGTGTTTCTATCCCCATCTTTAATCCATTTCGCCCTTGATTTCTGGAACCAGATGCTTTCTTCAATCTATACAACCTCCATAGATCCGATCTGAACTGTAGCAGATGCCCCCAGCCCTGTTGGCAGAGGTCCCCAGCTTGAGCCTTAAATTCAAGATCATTAATCTTCAATTCCATATCTGCTATGGACTCAGAAATTCCATTAAACTTTCTGCCGGACCAAACTCTGATCGATTTTTTAGTTCCTTGAAGAATGCTAAAAAAGCCCCTACCCCTTCACTCTCCCTCGAAACATCCAAGGATGATTTAACTATATCCTCAAAACCTTTTCTCTAAAAGATAATTAAAAAATCTGAATGGTTTGGGGCCCCAATCAACAGTTTTTTCCTCCAAACAAACGGGATTATGATCAGATAAAGACCTCGGTAACAAGCTTTGCACAACATTAGGAAAACTGATCAGAAAATCCCCAGAAATTAGGAACCTATCCAATCTGACCCAAGTAGAGGCTTCTCTATTATTACACCAAGTGAACCTTCCCCAACCATAGGTAGATCGATTAAATTAGTTTGATTCAGGAAATTTCTTAGAATAGCTATAGAAAACCAATTCTGGGACATTCATATCTTCTCTGTCGGATCAAAATACACATTAAAATCACCCCCAATGCAAACTGATACTGTTTGAGCAGTTACAAAATTCAGCAATTCCCTGTAAAAATCCTCCTTTTCAGAATCATGCTTGGACCATAGACATTAATAATCACACATGTATCACATGAATTCTTAAATTTTCCAAAGACAGCTATGAATCTGCTGCTTAAATGTCTATTTGTAACTTCAAATTCCTTATCATTCCACAACACCATTAATCCTCCTGCAGACCCCACAGCTGGAACGACAATCCAACCATTAAGAATACTTCCACCTATCCTTCTCCTAATAGCCTGAGAACATTTTCCAGCTTTGTTTCTTGAATGAGAAGAATGCCTGGTTTATAATTCCTGACCATAGTAGCTACGGCTCTTGATTTTTCCTTTTTTCAAATACCCCTAATGTTCTAAGAAATAATCTTCATCTTTACCATGTATATATATATGGAAACAAAACCTCAAAGCAAAGCAGCCGAGAGATCCCTACTCCCCCGGAACCACCCCTTCCCTACGATCAGCCAAACCTTTCTCCAGATTAATTATTTTATCCAAAAAGGCCTTCTTCCCCTCTTTGAATGAGATCCCTAGCAATTTACTGAGTAGCCAGCGCTTCTTCTAAAAATAAGGAGAAATTTGAAGAATACACAGTAGGGATACTAGCCACGTCCAGTGCTTCCCTAATCAGTATCCTTTTCTTTCTTCTAATACCAATCCTTGCTTCTGATCCAGGCTTATTTCCTTTAACACCCTCACCATCTCCCCGGGGAAGCTGTGACCGAACTACATCCGAATTCTGGCTAGAACCATCTTCATCCTGGGTCCCAATCGGGCTTCTCCCCGAGATATTAGTAATAGGTAAAATACTCGAGATAGGAATAATTCTAGACCTATTGTGATCAGACACCTCCAGTGGAAACATTGACTCATTTTCTCTGCATGGATTAAACCACACCTTTCTTTCTCTAGATCTTCTATACACTCTGGAGACAGACCCCCTCTTCCACCTTCCCAAATGCAGACTCCTAAACAGTTGATTGAAAGGACTCCAGCTACTAAGGCCAATAGTATGAGGCTCCTTATAACAACCACTCCCTTGATTCCTGCCCATGTGAATCGACTCTTCTTCCCTAACCTCCTCTATACCTTCCTCACTACTAGCTTTTTTGTTCAGGAATGCTCCTCCATCAATCAAAACCTCATTGGACTTGTTAAGATCTTCTCTAGATACTGGCTGTATCCTAACGACAGAAGGATCATTAGCCGTTTTTTGCACATTAGACTTATCCGAACCAGTTTTCTACGGCTCCACCAAAGTTTCCAACCGGGATTCATTCCCCTTACCAAACCCCAAATTGGTTAGATTAACCACAGGCCCAATAAAAGAAAATGGGATGTCCTCACTCGAGTCCACAGATTGGGCTGCCACACTTTCAACTAAAAAATCGTCTCTTAACCCAAGACCTCGAAAATCCCCTTTTAAATTCAAAATCCCATCTGGTAATTCTGACATCATAACACCACTAGTTTGACCTTGTAGTTCCTGCGACAATAAATGCTCTTCCCCTTTGCCGCCTACCATAGATGTACAGTTTTCCCCTACCAACCATCTGACATCTGTATCCCTAGAATCCTTAGCTATCAAATCCTGATTACCAACCCCGACTGAATGACTATCATCTTCCTCCTCTGATTGAGCGTCGTTACTGTGCACACAATCTCCAGCTACCATAGGTTTCTTTACTGCAAAGCTTTCCTGTTTGATACTAACCGACCCCAAAATAATTTTAACCTTGAAAGAACGCCCATACGAACCCATATTAACAAATTCCTGTACGTCGAACGGACTGGCCACCTTCAGTAGAGCTCTTGCCACCGCCATATCCTCCCTTTTGATCGTCGACTCATGAATACAGACCAGCTTCCCCACTTTGAAAGAAACTTTTCCAAGAAAGATACGTTCCAACATAATAAAGGAATTCCAACCAATTCAACTGAGCAAAAAGCCAACGGAACTCCTTCTTCGCTCATAAGCGGGTCAAGCCAATCAAACCAAAACAACAGTTCCTCCCCTCTGCTCGTCCTTGCCTTTTCTAATTCTTCCACTGAGTCAAAAGTTAAGATACAAGAGTTCCATGTATAGCCCCATTTAGCTCCCCTGACTATGATTCCATCGCTAGCCAGCCCCTTCACCGCTAATTCCAAATCAATCTGGGATTTAATAATTCCAGTCAATGATCTTTTAACCCAATCATACTCATCTAATGGGATATGCATCTCCCATACATTCCTCAGCCCTTCTTCCTCTCCTGGACGACCCTCCTTAATCTCTTTGTTCCCCTGAACTTCCCTTTGCTCATCATAAGAGACCAGCGCATCCTTATATGTTCTCTCATCCCTCAATTTACTAATCGACACTGACCTTAGTCTTCTTCTCGAAGTCATTCCCATTTTCAACTTACCTTCTTCTCTTCTGACATCTCTATTATCCACTTGCCTGGACCTCTGCTTCTGGTACTTAGCTACACCAACTGATACTTTCTTACCATCTATCCAAATACCATTCACATTTGCTATCGCCTTCATCAACCCATCTTCCTTCTCAAACTGAACGAAAGCGAACGTGTAGTTTCTATAGTTCTGCTTGGTGGAGCTACTCGGAATGTAGACTAATAACGCGACCATGTTGTAGAAAATTTTCCTTTAGTGTTCGCCAAGTTACCCTCTTACTCAGAAAGTTGACAAACGCCGTCCATTCCTCACCGGAGGACTGGCCACCTATGGCACTCTCTCTCTCTCTCTCCCTTTCTCTCTGACACTCTCTCTCCCCATTTTCCCAAATATAGTTGTGAAATATGTTCTTAGATTTTCGACATGCTTCATTATTCAGAACAGTCAACTTCAGCGTAGAGGTTTGGTCAATTCTTCTCAATTCAGCTTCTTTAATCCAAGTACTCTTTACCAGCTTCTTTATCCAACCACATTGCCGGAAATTGCATACTCTGGTTTCCTCTTCTAGACCTTAAATTTTGAGTACGTCTGTTTAGAAGTTGGGAACCAGTGAACTTGTTTAGAAATTGGAGCCACTTCCTCATCTTTAGAAGTTCTCAATAATGACATCATCCTTACAGAGGTCTGTTTAAATTTCTTCCCTAGAACCTCTTAGATCAAAGTATCTTGCAGACCATTTATAATCAGGGTTACAAAAGTTTACTCCCATTTTTTGGTACACAATCCTATGCAGTCATGTTTGTTAAAATTCAATAAATGATCACAAGCTAGTCGGATGATCATGTAATGGAACTAAAAGCATCATTGGTAACAGTAGAGGAAGCCTCAAAAAACATATCAAAATAGTTAATTCAATAGAGTTCTAGGATGCTCCAGCATCAGTAATGCTTGGTTCTGGTTCTAGTTCTAGTTCATGTCTTTCAATATAGTTCTAGTTCTTGTCTCTCAACAGGCCACATTGAATGATAGAGTTCGTGGAATTTGTGCTAATTAATGAGTAAAAGCATAGTTTGAGCACTTGGTTGTGAATTATTTTCTTCAACTACCAAATCCACAATCTTATATTCTACTACCAAATGTATTCAACAGTGGCAATGTAAACAATAATATATGTCCAATTTTTCCCACATGGTTGCTGTACACAGGGCGATGATGCATTCAATATGTAGTATGATATTTCCTTTATTTGAGTTTGTGAAATAGGATATTCATCAAAATCAGACATTTAATACTAGTCAACAATCACATCACTTGTTTTAAACAGGGTTCTTGACTGTTCTGCAATAATCTTATCTAGTTTGGTTACACCTTTCCTCAGTACGTTTGAACAATCAATTTTTTATTGAATTTCGATAAGCTATCTTCATCTTAATCATTGATTTTTTTCAAAATTTTCCACCTGCATTGCTATTACCAGTGTAACTGTGGCCGTCTTTTCTTCAATCGATTGTATCTCATGTATTGTAGGTTTTGGGGAACATTTCTGGCTGATGTGGTCATTCAGATGCTAGGAACCGATTATGCTAGAATATTGCGAGCTATCTATGGATTTGCACAGGTAATTGTTGTCAGTTTATTATATGCATGCCTAGATGTCAAACAAGCAATGAAAGTTTATATTTTACATTTAATGGGATTTAAGATGGTGCAAGAGATTTGAGTTGCTGGAAATATAGTGATGAATCTGGTTTTACACTGGTTGTAGGACTAATGACCTACTGGCCTAGGGCTTAGTCGCTTAAACAATGTTGAACAAGCAAAGGACAAATTTACTTTCTCTACAGATATTGGGCTGGATTTTTAGCGATAAAAACTGTGAAAACCTAGCAGTTTAAACGCGAATCAGCTAATTATTGTTAGCAGCTTCGGAAACAAATAACTGCTTAAAGAAGATCACAAAGTTTTGCCTATGTCAACGTTCTGGAACTTGTGATCTGATATTGATAAGATAATAATTGTCTGCAAGTACAAATGTTGCCTTTGTTCTGAGATCTATAAGATGATCATGTCATATCTGAAATGTCGAATTTGAAGTTCTAGCATGCATCTGTTTTTTTTTATCAGATCCGTATCACTCGAACATACCGATTGTAATGCAAAGATGACTCAAGGAGGAGATGTTAGCTTTTCAGGTTGACCATCTCAAACTTGTCTAGTAGTGGCACCTTTCTTTGGAACTGAAGCTGCAGTGATATTGTAAATATGTTGCTTTGTAAAATATTTTATGTATCTGTTCAAAGAGAGAATGTCATGTTTGCATTTCTAGTCATCTTTCCAACCATATAGATCAAACACATGATAGGCAAGTAAATTACATGAGTCCACTTGTTCCTCCCATATACCTCTTCTACCAGATGCATTTAATGTTTCTGCAAGCATCATTCATGCAGAGGATGGCTAGAAACGGACGAGTACAATGATGGATCCAAAAATATTTTGATGTGAGCACATGTATATTAGTAATAATTTTTTTCGGTATAGGGTAGACACTTTCAGTAAAATACATAATTAACATGCAAAAATTCAAGTTTCGGTTCATTACATACTCACCCTAAGCACACTTGCATCCCCCACGGTCGAACAGTTCATGGTAATGCAATGACACTAATGCAAGTGCATACCATATTCTTCGCCATTTTAAGGTCTGATCAAGTCATTGTACAACCAACATTATACAACGGAGGAAGAGTCTTGAAATATATTTAACACAATACAGTTGGGAGGCATTATATATCAACCTTATATGTGAATATGCACAACAATAAAAATGGTATTAGAGCCGCTTGTAGCTTAGCTCGGAGGTTCTCGGTCTGGATGGATGGAGTTATGATCAAACATTGGAAGGGATAATAATCTATTAAGTATTTAAATCTAAAAATTAAGGATAAAAAACTTATTTGACTAATATTAAATATTAAATATGAAACTAAATTAGATTCTAAATTCAAATTTTAAATATTAAATATTTGATACAAAATCAAAATAATTTAAATGTGAAAAGGTGGAATCTGCACAACTGCAACTTGACATTGATGATGACAACTTGATGTTAATACCGCCAAGACCAAGTAAACCAAGAGCTGAATAAATAAGCATATGCAAAAAGGTCAAAGTCATCGGCCCCAATGGCACACCGAAATTGATTTTCTTTATATAATAAGAAAAAGATCTTCAATCATTCAAGTGGTAAGCAAGTATATACAAAAAGGTCAAAGTCATCAGCGCCAATCGCACACCGAAATTGATTTTCTTTATATATTAACAAAAATATCATTAAAGTGGTAAATAGTTTGATATCGTTTAATTAAAGTTTTCAATTCGAGTCTTTGAATATACAGAAAATTCCTGTTGAGAGCTCTATCCACCAAAGTCAGGTGTACAACGCGGGTCAGTCCGGATTAATCAAGTCGAAACCTTGCAATCGGGATCACAACAAAAAAACAAAAAGACCCTCAATATTTATAACATATTTTCAAGGGTAAACTACGTCAAATACCACTCATCTTTAAGCTCGAGCTCGAAAATGTCACTGACGTTTTAATTTTATCAATTTTAACACAGACGTTTATGTTTCACTACAATTTTGCCACTCCGCCGTTAATCCGTTAACGGGTCGATGACATGACATCTTTGTTCTGTGACGGCGATGACGTGGCTCCCTCATCAAAACGATGTCGTTTTGATGTTCAAAAAGCTCAAAACGACGTCATTTTGTTGATGAAAAAAATGTTTTTCATGAGATTCAAACCATAAACCTTTAGAAACCAAAGCTAAATACTCAACCACCAAGTTAACTTAATAACATGTAATAATCTTAACAAAACTATTATAAATAAGTAAGGTCACTTGAATGCAACTGTAACGTAACTGGATTGGGAACCAGGACTCATCGACAAACTTAGGGACTGCAAGTCCCCACAACCCATTGGACAAACGGAGCCGGAAGCTGCTCCATCATCGACCATGCTACTAGTCATCTGTTGTTCCATTGAACCACGGGTAGAGAAGTAAGAGGCTACCCAATTTTTAAAGTTAAGGCATTGTTTTCTCCCAATTGAGGAATCTGGGAATCACAGTCTGCAAGTTGGGTATCCTTGGTTTTCTCCTCCAATGGGGAATGAAACATGGCTTGGCAAGCAAGTCATGAAAAGTAGTGGTGAGTTTGAACAGAAAACTCATGTTCTTGCTCTTTAAAGGGTTCTTGGAGAAGGTCTAGAGAATACTGCTGGTTGTGTTCCTGATTCGCATCTTGGTGGTAGTACACGATGTATAAGCTGAGCGGCATTGTTTCTCGTTGGTGACTTCCATATTGATGAGGGTCCATAGTTGCACCACCCAGAAAGTCCTCCAGTTTTGGAGACGAAGTAGGCACAATCCCTTCAAACAAAACAAACATTGAATAATACAAGTGTTAGGACAAATAAGAATATCAAGAAAACTTGGGGAAATTATGTTTATGAGGGAACCTTCTTACTGTGATCTATTGCAGAGAACTTTCATGATGCATAAAGAGACATTTGACTTGAGTGGCATAACAGACAAAGGAGTGTGAAAGCCTCCACTAGCACCAACTCCATAGCAGATTCTAGAGCCATTGAGGTGAGAAGACAAGTAGAAGCTCGTAGGAACAGTATTAGATACAGCGGTCAGAAATATTCATGAACAATCTCACACATGATTGGCGGAGGAAGATAATGAGGATGACGGTGGTAGCGATGAACATTTATAATAGTTTTGTTAAGATTATATTAAGTTTTTAAGTTAGTTTGGTGGTTGAGTATTTAGTTTTAGATTCTAAAGGGTCTACGGTTCGGATCTCATGAAAAATATTTTTTTCATCAACAAAACGACTTCTCTTTTAGCATCAAAACGGTCGTGCCAAAACGACATCATTTTGATGAGATAGTCATGTCATCGCCATCACGGAACAAAGATGTCATGTCATCGTCCCGTTAACGGATTAGCGGTGGAGTGACAAAATTACAGTGAAACATAAACGTTCGTGCTAAAATTGATAAAATTAAAACGTCAATGAAATTTTCGAGCCCAAACTTAAAAATGAGTGGTATTTAACGTAATTTACTTCTTCTTTTTTTCAATTACGTCTCCCCCCTACTCTCAATATTAATTCACTCTCACCTACTCTCCATATCAATTCATCATCGCCCCTTTTGTCGATCTTTCAGACCATTGGATTTCTATTTTTATTAAAAAAAAATCATGGCTTTTGGAAGAAAGTGGGGCAACCTTTCAGTTTCCTTTTAGAATTGAGCAATGAAATCGTAAAATGATAAATCCATCTGAATCTAATTATACTATTTAATTTGATTTGGATATTTTGTTTTACAATTCGATTTCGGTCCAATTTAGATACACAATTCGGTTTCAGTTTCATTGCTTTTGAAATTTATTTGTTCTAAATCAAACCAAAATAAAAATAATAATAGTCCAAATCAATTTTTTTTTTT